TGTGCGGATGGGGGAAAATCGTAAAATTAAAATGTTTAGGTAGATATTAAGTTGTAGCACTAAGGGACCATCTGGCAATAAATTTATATCTATGTTTTTGTTGCTAATACCAAGATAACACATTTAGACTTTTTTTTTTTTTTTTTAACTTGATTGTGGATCTTACAGTTGCTCTTTTGAGTTATAAGTTATTCCCATGTGAGGTCATTGCACCCAATCTGGAAACTGAAAGTTTACATTAATTTTTTTTGCCTCAAAAAGGCATGAAATATCATCATTAAAACAACAGACTAGCCCTCTGCCACCAGACCATCATGTTATGACTTGCAATTTCTTTTAGGCATTTAGGTGTTGGTTTCCAAGTAAGGCAGAGAATTGCCTTTGTTTTTTTTTTTTTTTTTTTTTTTTTCAAATAAGGATTAGAAAACAACAGTTTCGTTGTGCTTGAAGGTCTCTCCATTGAAAGAAGGGCTATGAAATCGAGTCACTGGCTAGAATATGCATTCAAGTTGCTTCAATAGAAATGATTTTGAGAAAATTTGATTAGAAGTTTCGTAATTTTTCGTTATTTTTCCTATTATCTTTTATTTTACATTACTAGCGTTATATATGAAAAGAAATCTCAAGTTGTGTACCATGCAATGAAACTTGTTGCAGTCTGATCAGTTGAAAAAGAAGCCATTTCTGAGTTCCTCAGGTATTATTACTAATATATGTAATCATTTGGTATAAAAATGATACATTAGTGAACAGCTCATATGGAAGTGAGTGGAAATCTTTGAATGCCCCTTGTCACCTCATTAAGGAAATGTGTTTTGGAACTTTGCATATAGGGGATTTTTCCATGCATGCATAAATATGAAACTACCCTGAACTCAATTTTGACCATGGGAGCCCATACCTGCCTCATGAAATAACCCTTTAAATAGTTATAATTAGAATTGATTTTGTTACACCTTTTCTAACTGTTTCATTATTCCTTTCAGTGGGAGGCAAAGGTGGAGAGAAGCCAGGAGGAGTTTGACCGCATCTCTCGAGCCATCAAGAAGGAGATGGAGCAGTTTGATATTGTGAGAGTGAAGGATTTCAAAGACATGTTAGTGAAGTACTTGGAAGCTCTCATGACCTCCCAGCAGCAAGTGAGTAAATGTGTTCCGTTCATGTCAACACTCTTTTGGGGGCCAGACTTTTTATTTACTTTGGTGTGTTTGATTTACTTCCAATTTCATACCTGTTTATCTGTAATTTCTAACTGAGTACTTCCAAATATGTGTGTGTGGTTTGATAGATAACTCCCATCACTTCTGCAAATTGTGTTTTGTTGCAGACAAAGAAAGTTTCTCTCACTAGTAAGTAGTTATTAATTGTGTTATACAGAACCTTGAGATTACCATTTTATTCATTCTTTCCAGATAATCAAAGTGTGGGAGACATTCCTCCCCGAAGCAAGGGCTATTTCTTAGAGGATCTGCCGATTGCCTTGAGTTAAAGAAGTTGCTGCTGTAAGTTGCTGAAGAGTGGAAGTTATTAGCGATGAAGGATTTTCACTTTCCAATTTATGCATACTTCTTTCTTTTTTTTTTCTTTAGCACTAGCTGATATGTCTGAGTCTTTTTATTTTTTGTTTTTATTTTTTTTCTCGTTTTTATATGTATACAGCCAGTTCCCGGTGATTCAAATTCTTGACCATTCCTCGAAATTCTTTTTTTTTTGGTTTTTGTGAATGTTTGAAGACGACAAAATGCATCTTTATTGCTTCAAATGATTATAATGCAGCCATTCCTAGATGTTTATGAAAGATTTGCTTGTTGATATTTTAAGATATTTGGAACATAATATATTTTTTCTCTCTCCATTTAAAATGTTAATGGAAAAGTGAAACTAGCATTAATCCAGAATATCAGGTATGAGTGCTTTAAAAGATATCTTGTTTTTGTAGAACAATATATATATATGTATTTCCTTGCAAAAGATGTATGATTCTTCATTCTTGTAGAGCTTCAGATAGATTTTTTTTTTTTTTTTTTTTACCCACAGACTACCCATTCATTAAAAAAAAAAAATGTTTACAATAACGTCCACTTTAACCTTACTACTGCAAGATGGTCTGGTATTGGAAATCATGAATGGTCATCTAATTATTTCAGTGAGGGGGTGAAAGTTGATGAAAGCGTGGTGTGTGTCTGGGCTAGTTTGTTATTTATTTGTTCAGTTTTGAATGAAGAAAAAGATCTGAGTATGAACACATTATCCGTGTTGAAAGTCGAAATGTTGATCCAGCTAATGAAGAGCTTACATTGCTACGTGGTAATTAAGTGCAGTTAATTAGATGTGCTCGTATTTGTGGTATTTTCTTTTTTTCTTTTTTTTATTTATGTAATCCACTTTTTGATGTATTTTTTCCAGAATGAAAAGAAAAGAAAAAAACATTATTGTATTGTATCTCATAGGGTGCACTTAGGATGTTTGTGAATAAGTTAAGATTAATCTTTTTTTTCTTTTTTTTTTTCAAGAGGGGGGGAGGGGGATGTATTTTTCAGCATTTTATTGCTCCTAAGCTTGTTTTGCGTCTCCGGAAAAAGATGGAGGGAAATTTTGATTTACTTTAGCTACCCCTTTTCACGTTAGATTAAGGCTTATTTTGATTCTTTGGGATTATTTTGTTATATTTGTAAAACTTCCGAGTTTGTATTTGCTAAAACCTCATGCCATTCATTCTACGTTTTTTGAATGCTCGGGTTTGTACTTTATATTTTGTCATTAGAAAAGTAAAATCTGTGCTGAAATTGATTGTACAGTATATATATGTATATGATTGATCACTTGAAAAATTATTTAAGGTGATTTGTGTTTGATTTCCCCCTGAAGTTTCATTTGTGAATATTCAAAAATGGCAATTATACTCTCATTTTCCTTACAGTTTCTACCTTAGAAAGAAAAAAAAAAAATTTAAATGGTTATACCTAACATAGTCTTGTTTCTTATACATTTTAAGCATGATGATTAACCTCGTACTTAAGAAGATGAATGCTGAAAAGTCTTAAGAATGTGGACATTCACTATCAACTGAATTTAGCTCTTAATTTGCTTTTATTTAAGGGTCATAAGATTACTTTTTGTGATACTACATTGGTTAATAACCTCGTGAAATGAAGAGATGGTATCTTTTTGGGGAAGATAGAGCATACATAATGCTAAGTCAATGTTCATAAAGTGTGTCTGCAGAGAGTCTAGACAAGCTTTTCATTATTATTGTGAATGAATGCATGTCATCTATTGCCTGAATATTTCAAAGCAAATAGATTTCCCTAAAGACAATAAATGGTATTATATTCAGAATTCACCACTACCGTTTCCAGTGAACAATGGAGAACACTGCAGGTCTTAGGAATAGAACCAAAGTTTTTCAATTAGTGTAATATATTTTCTAGAGTGGTATAGAGTGACAGGAAGCCGGCCCCCCCTAAAAAAAGGAAAAGAAAGAAAATAAAAAAAAGAAAGGAAGGCGAAGGAAGAAAATATATTTAATGGCTATGAGACCAACTTAGTAAAAGTCTACTTGAAAGGGATATTTCAAAATTACAGAATATAGGATGTTTTCCAAACACCTCCCCCCCAATCCCTTGCCCGTTGTTGTCGTGGGGGGCTTAGGAGGCGGAGACTGGGACCCAATGATGGGGAACTCCTCAACCTTGGGACTCGGCCCTCGACTCAACTAATTTTGCATGGTCTTTTTTTTCCCTTCCCACTTTTCCTTTCTATCCCTTCACCAAACCCTTCTGCTATCCACCTCCTAAGGTGTGAGAGCCGTGCTGAAAGGATGAAAGGCTGACTTTGTGCCAGTCCTGAACGGCCTAAGGGAGCCATGGGCACGGTATTCCCCTGATTTAGTTATCTAGCCCTTACCCCTCAAGGGGACCCTGAGTGGTGGACTGTTTTTATCCCCAACATAATCCAGGCTTACCATGGCCAATAATGAAAATATATCCCCACTATTAGGGGCAATGAGGCCAAACATTGCCATTCCACAGCCAGATGCCCACTATGTGCCCAACCTGGCCATACCCGATCAAACTGCTCTGCACAATCACGTACATGTGCCAACTGTGGCGGCCCCCATAATGTATTTTATAGGGGCTGTCCCACCTACAAATTTGAATCTGAGGTAGCAACTCTCAGATTCAAACTAGGACTCACACTGCGTGAAGCCAGAGACAGGAAGCACGTCGACGTGGATTCTCTCTTACTCCTTACTCCAGTAATACTGCTCATTCTAACACTTCTCCTAAACCCACCCCTCCTACATCTAACTCCCCCACTTCTACCTCCTACCTTCCCCAGTCAAACTCTTTTGCCATCCTAAATCCAGACACTCCAATCTCTACTACAGATACTCCAATCACCACTACAACCCCAACACCTTCCCCTCTCCCTCCTCGCACTACCCGTAACAGACAGAACAAACGTTCCATCCCCCTCTTCCCCTACCACACAATCACCTCCACCATCCTTTGCCCCTACTCTTGAGACACCAGTCCTCTCTTCCCCCCCTCACAAGAAATCCTTTATCCCCCAAAACTCCCCAACCAACTCCTCAGAAGAAACTATTGAAAATATTCAAGATTACTTAATGCAAACTGACACTCAACCTACAACCCCTGCTCCTTCCACACTCCAAGTAATTGCTGATATCCATCCTCCTCCTAACGATATCCCCCTACACCCTATCCTCCTACCCCCTCCCAACACAGCCCATCCCCCCCGACCCCGACCCCAACCCCGCCTACATTAACCCTCCCACCATCCCCTCTATCCCTTCCACTCCCTCCTGGATACACACGTGAATCCCTTATGTCACAAGTATCTCCTTCCTCAGACCCTCCATCTCCTAATACCCCTCCTGATAGAACACCAACTCCCACACCTCTCCCATCTCAAACCTCTCAGTCCTTATCCCAGCCTCTAGCTGCTTCCCCTTCAAATTCTCCAACACGTACTACAATCTATATCACTAAATCAACGAAAGTATAACTATCCTTCATTGGAATATTCGCGGTTTCCGCTCCCACAGACCTGACCTTCGTCATATCCTTTCCTCTTATAACCCATCTATTGTATGCCTTCAAGAAACCTTTCTTACACATCCTCCAATACCAATCCCCAATTATCATTTTATCATTTTGTCTCTTCCCCACATTCCCTTTGTCTCGTCTATACTTATCAATCAGAAAACACCTTATGTCACACCACCCTTTCAAACCAATGTCCCTTGCACAGTTATTCGTATCTTCCTTCATCGTTGGATCACAGTGATTTCAGTCTACTTCTCCCTTTCCCACCCCACTGACTTTGTTGCTTTTGAAAATTTCCTAACTTCAACCACCTTTCCTCATAGTGGGCGACTTTAACTGCCGCCACACTCTTTGGGGTGATTCTATTACCAACTCCCGAGGCCGATCTCTAGAGCGCTTCCTCTCCACAGCTGACATTACTATTCTAAATTCAGATCGCCCCACACACTTTGATACACGCACGCAATCTTTTTCATGCATTGACCTCTCTCTATGCTCCCCTTCTCTTCATATAGATTTCCACTGGTCAGTCTTAGACCACTTTCCCTATAGTGACCACTTTCCAGTTCTCCTTTCTCCTACTTCATACGTACCACTTCCTAACTCCCCACGCTGGTGCTTTGATAGAGCCGACTGGCATACTTTCATTTCACTCTCTGCTATTCATACCCCTCCATCCTCCCTCACCTCCATTTCAGAAATGATAGTGTTTCACAACTACAGTCTTAAGAGCTGCACATACAGCTATCCCTCGAACCTCAAGACCATAAACCTCTAAATGTGTTCCATGGTGGAATTCTGATTGCACTAAAGCACTTCGCTTAAAACGTGCAGCCTGGAACAGTTACCGCTACAAGAGAGGTACTCCAAATCAACTATCAGCCCTTATCTCCTTTAAAAGAGCATCTGCCTGTCTTCGTCGTACAATCCGGAATAGTAAAACAAATAGCTGGCGAAATTATGTTTCATCAATTACATCCTCTACATCTATCTCAAATGTATGGCGACGAATCCATAAACTATCAGGCAAACATCCCCCCCATCCTGCCCCCGTCCTCCATATTCGAGATACTCTCATTTCTGATCCTCTCCAAGTCGCTAATAAACTGGGTGATTATTTCAGCCAGGTCAGTAGTGGTTCTCACCTTTCTCCACACTTCTCTTCTATCAAGACCACCAGAGAACGTACCCCCCCCCAATCCCTTGCCCGTTGTTGTCGTGGGGGGGGGGGCTTAGGAGGCGGAGACTAGGACCCAATGATGGGGAACTCCCCAACCTTGGGACTCAGCCCTCGACTCAACTAATTATGCATGGTCTTTTTTTTCCCTTCCCACTTTTCCTTTCTATCCCTTCACCAAACCCTTCTGCTATCCACCTCCTAAGGTGTGAGAGCCGTGCTGAAAGGATGAAAGGCTGACTTTGTGCCAGTCCTGAACGGCCTAAGGGAGCCATGGGCACGGTATTCCCCTGATTTAGTTATCTAGCCCTTACCCCTCAAGGGGACCCTGAGTGGTGGACTGTTTTTATCCCCAACATAATCCAGGCTTACCATGGCCAATAATGAAAATATATCCCCACTATTAGGGGCAATGAGGCCAAACATTGCCATTCCACAGCCAGATGCCCACTATGTGCCCAACCTGGCCATACCCGATCAAACTGCTCTGCACAATCACGTACATGTGCCAACTGTGGCGGCCCCCATAATGTATTTTATAGGGGCTGTCCCACCTACAAATTTGAATCTGAGGTAGCAACTCTCAGATTCAAACTCGGACTCACACTGCGTGAAGCCAGACAGGAAGCACGTCGACGTGGATTCTCTCTTACTCCTTACTCCAGTAATACTGCTCATTCTAACACTTCTCCTAAACCCACCCCTCCTACATCTAACTCCCCCACTTCTACCTCCTACCTTCCCCAGTCAAACTCTTTTGCCATCCTAAATCCAGACACTCCAATCTCTACTACAGATACTCCAATCACCACTACAACCCCAACACCTTCCCCTCTCCCTCCTCGCACTCCCCGTAACAGACAGAACAAACGTTCCATCCCCTCTTCCCCTACCACACAATCACCTCCACCATCCTTTGCCCCTACTCTTGAGACACCAGTCCTCTCTTCCCCCCCTCACAAGAAATCCTTTATCCCCCAAAACTCCCCAACCAACTCCTCAGAAGAAACTATTGAAAATATTCAAGATTACTTAATGCAAACTGACACTCAACCTACAACCCCTGCTCCTTCCACACTCCAAGTAACTGCTGATATCCATCCTCCTCCTAACGATATCCCCCCTACACCCTATCCTCCTACCCCCTCCCAACACAGCCCATCCCCCCCGACCCCGACCCCAACCCCGCCTACATTAACCCTCCCACCATCCCCTCTATCCCTTCCACTCCCTCCTGGATACACACGTGAATCCCTTATGTCACAAGTATCTCCTTCCTCAGACCCTCCATCTCCTAATACCCCTCCTGATAGAACACCAACTCCCACACCTCTCCCATCTCAAACCTCTCAGTCCTTATCCCAGCCTCTAGCTGCTTCCCCTTCAAATTCTCCAACACGTACTACAATCTATATCACTAAATCAACGAAAGTATAACTATCCTTCATTGGAATATTCGCGGTTTCCGCTCCCACAGACCTGACCTTCGTCATATCCTTTCCTCTTATAACCCATCTATTGTATGCCTTCAAGAAACCTTTCTTACACATCCTCCAATACCAATCCCCAATTATCATTTTATCATTTTGTCTCTT